GATCGATCCCCCCCTCCCCCCTTAAAGAAAAAGCGACATAATCGTGAAGTAACATAAGAAGATTTCACACGAAGAAAATCAAAGGCGAAACACACACCTTGACACTGTGTCGTAGTTTATAACTCTCTTATCAGATAGAAATAGATGAAATCAGCAGTGTGTTGAATAGCCGTAATATCTTTAGTTCTAATATCAATAGATAAATGTAATAACATTAGAACTTCAACACGTATGTTTTTTACACTATATATATACTTTTTGTTTATATTCATCTGATGAAATGCTTCTATAGGTCTGTACATGTGCCGTTAGAAACTGCTTAGAGTGTAAAGAACGTGGCAGATCGTACAGCATGTTAGGTCGGCAGATTGGTTCTAGTAATAAATCACAGCACATACAGTCTCTTATACGTGGAGCTCAAACATCACCCAAGGTATGTCTCATCTGATCGAACTTCATTTTATATAGAGAGAAATGTGTTTATCGTCGTCGATATATATATATATTGACAAGTTACATATCATGTACTTACTCGATGCCGTATCGTATAGAGAAATAGCGTTTCATTGCGATTCGTTCGACACATCCCGTCTGCCGATGAAGTTCGATAAAGTATCGTTTCTATTTTTGTAGAACATTGTGGATAATCTGGCACATCAATTAAGCCCTGTAAAAGATCCAGAGAAATTACTGCAGGATATGGACGTGAATCGCTTAAGAGCTGTGATATACAGAGATGTTGTAAGTATTCGAATCATTTTCTAGCGTCGAGTCTTTCGAGACTTTGTAATCCTTTCTCGTGGTTCGAAACTCGGATTAACGAACGCTGAATCATTTGCAGCAGTGAATGATGATGCGAAATATCGAAATTTAGAAATATTCTCGAAAAAGAAAAGATATTGTACTACACTACACGTCAACGGTATAAGATCTAGAAATAATTTTTAAACGCGAATTTAAATCGGAACAAGAAAAATTTATATAAAAGTGTCTGACTCTGATTCTGAAAACAGAAAGTTCCTCTTACAAAATAAAATCAGTACAAAATTGTCGAGGATTTAAAAATTGATCTCGAGCCGATTCGAGACTTTAGAAAAGCATAAAAGAAGCAAAGTATTCCTTAAAGCATTTCTTCTTCTCTATCTATTTCAGGAAGAAACCAAGCAGGCCCAGTTTCTGTCCCTCGCTATAGTTTACTTCATCTCTGTACTAATGGTGTCGAAGTACCGTGATATATTGGAACCACCAATATCACAACGACCACCAAGTCCAGTTCAAACGATACAGACTAATGGTGCTAGTTTGAGACCAGGTAGCCCTTCAGGTATGATATACACTCGTCTAGTTCAACAATCTCTCACACTCCATAGTGATGCAAGATCATTAATAAGTGACAAACAGACAGTTAACGCTATATTATCCAGGAGCATTGTCTTCGTTATAGGATTTAATCGACTTAAAATGTTAAAAGTGTGGGATTACACTTTTCATTAATTAAAGCAGAATATGATCTAGTAATTACAAATTGTGCTATTTTTGCAGGATTCTGAAAGAAAACTTTGAAAATTTTTGAGATCAGCATTGACATTCATGTTTTCAATTTTGAAAATATTATACATGTACAAATTTTTCTTCTCAAGAAACACTAATGTTTGTTAAAAAAGAAGGGGGAAACGAATATGAGAATATCAAATTATTACTTCAAAACTCTTACATGTCAGATATCTGTTGTCATACATTCTGATCGATGTGTTCAACAATAAGATTGAATTTTCGTTTTTAACGTTTTAAACGTGGCATCATGACGTGATGGCACGATTGATTATTGTCGATAATCAGACGACATTGTGTTTTCTCGCGTTTCAAGAAAGGAGGAGATATTTCCTTTTCGAATGTAACTATCATTCGCAGTGATTCAACAGATACGAGATATAAACGGCTAGTAAGAAATTGCTGTCGTCGTGAGATTAGATTGTAAACCAATTGGGAACAAATCCGTATCGAGTCGAATAGCAATTCGTTGGAAATGAAAATGAAATGATAATTCGAATGAAATTGAAATGATAAATAACACGGGGTATATATATATGCAAATACGTAGACGCTGTGGAACACTATGCACTTTAACTGTGTAGCGGCAAGTCGAACAGCACATAACACTGAATAGAGCGCATGTCCAATTTTGCACTGTATGAACTATTCTTCTATGTATCTGACAGTGAGAGTTTTGATGTTTGTCGAATGCATTAGCACTTTGTCTGTTCGGTTTAGATACATACATATATATATATATATTTTAAATGTCACTATCATTTTATATTAGAAGAAAAATCATTTATTTTGTGTGAAACAGATGAAACAGAAAATGTTGACTACAGATGATGATGAAAAAGGATAACACAAGATCTGTTAAACGTTTCTTCAAAGATAGTTGAATGTTTGACGATTAAATGTTGTACGTGGACAATAGTATGTGTTATCATTGAATCATGCGATGCTCCTAAATTTAGTATCTTATACGATAAAACTTGAAGAAAATTCAGAGTTTCTCTTTGCTGAGTTTCACTCTGTCTGCTATTGTCTCCGAATTGTACAGTTGTCGATATTTTTATCCAGGGTGAACGTATTAGAGTAAAGGAAAAAAAAGAGTTGAAATGGAAGAGATTGGACGTTTTCCAAGGAACAGAGAGAAACTCGGTAGACACGTTCAGATAATGAATAAAAAGAAAAAAGAAAAAAAAAGCAAAGCAAAGGCATGACAGAAATACAGACAGTGTATACTAGGTGTTGAATCGTGGTAACGTGGTAAATGTGATTCCTCAGCAGATGGGAATGGTGGTGGAGGAGGGCGGCCCCTGTTTCCACAGTGGTCTCACCACGTGTACCCACAGTTCCTCCCGGGATCTCACCCTAACGCCAATGCGAATGCCAATGCCAATGCCAACCACCATATGAACCAGCACCACCACCAGCACCCGCTACCGGCTGCCAGGCACTCTAATCGCCAGCCCCCCTCCAACTATTATCTCCCGAATCACCACAGTAATCATTACAACCATCATCCGAGTAACCATAACTATCATCGTCATCATCATTACCATCATCACAATAACAACAATCACCATCATACGCTTCAAAAGCATATCGATCAGCCCCGAAATCTCTGTCATAGAAACTCCGGTGTTGGTCTGCAAGGTAACTCGATTGCCCGAACGATTCTGTTCCACGGAATGCTCGAGTTTGTTTCGTTGATCGCCTGCTCGATTTGTTTTTCTTCTCTCTTTTTTTCCTTTTTTTTTTTTTTTTTTTACTTGCCGACCGATCGATGATCGGCACATCAGTTTTAACTTTGTTTTAACTTTCACTATCCCTATCCCCTCGATCTGTCTTGCCCCTTCGTTTATTTCGTTTCTTCTTCTCCGATTGTTCTTTCTATCGGTATTGTCGACACATCTCTGTCTGCATGTTTGCCGTTTGAACTAGTCGGTCTGAACCGAACCTCTGGTGTTTGAACCACTTTCACACTTTCGGGCACGCGCATATAAGCATCGTTCTCACTCTTTTTTGTTCGACTGAGTTTTCCGAGTTTCTTTGACGAGTTCGAACGTTTCAATTTCGCCATTGTTTATCTTTTTTCTTTCCTTTCTCCTTATCTCGCGAAACGGATGGTAAAGTTTGAATTGAGAAGTTGCTTGCAGAAGTTGCGATTGCGAGCGATACGTTAGCACCCCCAGAATGTTGTTCGAAAGCTTGGAGCACAAGCTGCGAATGAGAGTTGCACCACTTTGCGAGCAATCTGGGAAAGTTTTGCATGTTTATTGGATTGATTGCAACTCACGGATGCAAATTCACGTAATGTTGGATTCCATTGACACCCGAACGCAGGATTGTTCCTCCAACTAACATACGAAAAATTAACTTGCCGACGAACGACGGTTATCGTTGAGTTTTTCTTTTTTTTTTTTTTTCTTTTTGTGTCCAGCAATGGACAGTTTTGCACGTTTCGGATTGTTTCGCTGAATGAAAAACGACTTACTTTCATCGAAAACGTTGCTGCGATGTCGATAAAAGGAATCGGATTTGAATATGTTAGCGATAATTTCCTTGCGTTTATTGCAATTATCAAATTTGTTATGTTTCGTTCGAAGATGAAGGGGAGTCCAAGACATGAACAAAGTAGTGTTTGAAGACAATTCTAGAAAACATTCCCTTCTTCTTCGAACGCAGTTCAGCGCAAGTTTGTACGCTTCGGTTACATTCGATGATTACGCTTTGTATATTATATTTTCCTTTCTCCGTTTTCAGTTCCTGCACTATAATCTGCATCTCCTGTTCCCACAGTGCGATCGACGATATTCACCCAGTGACGAGAACGTATGAAACGTAGAGAAGAATAACACCCCGAGGACTTATCGCAAATGATAAACACAGAGTTGAAATTCATAATTAGCAAGATCGTCGATCGCACGGTCGTTCATGACAGCCTGCTTTGCAAGACCAAGTATAACGCGATATGTTTTTCGAGTACCGGTCATCGAGAATGGTGAAATATGTTCCCAGGAAGCGGAGGTATAATGAGCCAAGCCGGTTCGCAAGATGACGGCGAGTACGAGGTGATAATCGTCGACGAGAACAACTCGTCGATCCTTGCGGATCACGACGTTACGTCGTCAGGGCCACCGTCGACGAAGGTAAGTGACCTCTTCGAAGTATCTCTTCGTTACTCTTGTCTGTTCGATAAGATGTTGCTCCGTTTGAAACGGAAAGGAGAAGAAAAAAGAAAATGAATAAACAAAAAGATAAAAACAAAAACGTACTACGTAAAAGATCTACCCGTACGAAAGATGCATACCTCGGGATTAATTGATCCGTTGTTCTCAGGTAAAAGAAACGAAAAGTATTTTGTTCATCTCTCCTCAGTGCTGTTTGTACATGAAAGTAAACGAGAATAGCGAAATCTTTTTTATTCGTGGTTATACTTCTCGGTATATATATATATATATATTGTATATTTTGTATACGTACGAAACCATCGATGCTCGAGAAGATTTGTGACAACCTTACTTGAGACTGCATGCCTTTGTGAAGAGATAGAGATCGTGTGACTTCGTTGTGTGTTTCATTGAATTGAAATTTTTTTTCAAATGATGTGATGATCGTTACGGAATCGTGATTTTGATATATGTATATATATATACATTTCATTACGATTTTTCCCTCTTTTCTTTTTATTTTTTTTTTTTTTTTTTTT